GTCTTATGTCCATCGAGTGATCGATCTGCAGGGGGTCTTAAACAACTGGGTTCCTCCAAATACCACCTCCTTTGTCCAGACACGGCACTCGCAACCCTACGACGCGGCTTAGCTCCTTGTTCATCCCAGCAATGTTGTCGCCAGCATAGAGAATCTGGGCGAACTGGCCTCCTCCCGATGTGGTGGTTGTAGAGAACAGCTCCAAGCCCAAACTGGAGTGGCCCCACCACCTAAATGCCATAGAGATAGAAGGTCTTGTCCGATTCTTCTAGAGTACTGGGGGAGGCTCCAGACAGGAGGGCTGGGAAACTGTTGTGCCAGCTGGTCATAGATAGTAACCCGCTGGGGGGAGGTCCCGGTCAGCACTCGGGGCTCCCAGACCCGCGCTTACTGTTGAAAAAATTTGTATCAAGGGCTGGAGGGTACCAGTTCAGCTGATTCCAGTCCTGGTATAGTTGTCTGTGGGCAAATACTCCAGGTAATACAGGACATTTACAGGAAGTAAGGGCCAAGCAGGGCAGAACAGGTAGTCTTGGAGTACAACGTCTGGGGGCTCGACGGTGGGCGAAGTGAGCCTCTAACTGCTTCTACTAGCCGCTTACTGCGCTGTCGAAACGCGGGCCTCTTCGGCCTACGCCGCGTACTTCGCGAACTAGGCCTCCTACTGCGTCTAACTGGCGTATACTGCTTCTACTGGCTTCTACTTACTGCTAAGGCTTGCCTCTAACTGCCTGCATACGGCTTCTTCCAGCTTCTACTGCCTCGTACGGGGCTTCTCAATGGGGGCCGCTAACTACTGGCGGTCGACTTACGGACGCTACTTATAGCAGATACGGCCTCGAACTGCTTCTACTGCAGCCCGCTACATGCCTCTTAACTGCTGCTACTGCCTCTACTCTGCCTCTACTGCCTTCTGCTTCTACTGGCCTTCTCGACGGCGTCTACTGCCTCGACTGCTTCGTCTCCTCTACCGTCGACTAGAACGCTACTGACTCTGAATACGGACTCTACTGACTAGTACTGGCTTCTACTGGTACGAAACTGATCCCTTCTTCGACTCTACTAACCTACTGACACTACGTGCCTCTACTGGCCGCACGGCATCTTCTGGCTTGCTACTGACTCTACGGACTCTACGGCCGTCGACTGGGCCTCTATCTGCCTCTACTGGGACTCTACTGACGCTACTGACTCTACTAGGCCGCTACTCTTACGCCTCGACGGCCGTCGTCTGCCTCTACTGGACTCTACTTCATCTACGGACATCTACGGTCCACTCCCATCTACTGCGTCTACTGCCTCTACTGCATCTACTGCCCGCACTATTGCCTCTACTACTGAATCTTACAGCGACCTACGGACTCGACTGTGACTCTTCTCCTCAGCTAAACTGCCTTGTACGGCCTCGTACTGGGCGTCTACGCCGCTGACTGCCTCTACTGCCGCTACCCATGAGCCGTCTACGGCCGTCGACTCTGGACTCTACTGCTTCTATCGCTAATGCCTCTACTCTGGATTCCAGAGTCAGATTCATTATTTTGGCTTTTGCCGTAAAAACCAATGAAAAAAAACTTGCAAGGAACTAACCCAGGTGTGGGGCACCAGACAGAGAGTACACACTCTACCCAAAGACGCTGGCCACGGCGTCCATCTTTTACGCGCCATGCACAAACAGTTAATAAACAACAGCAAGGCATATATCATCAGGATCTCAACAGATTTGGGGAGGACTCTTGTGCCGTTTTGTAATCACGGGATATTTTTGCTCGGATGGAGCACCTCTGACAGCCCGGCCCTAGGTGGCTTCCAGAGGGGGCGGGGTCAGGGAGGGGGGTGAGTCGGAAACACAGTGGTAGAGGGGGGAGGGGTAGGGAGGGGAGGCAAGAGGGATAGAGAGGGGGGAGGCGGGGGGAGAACGGGATCCGTGGCTGGAGTACTGAAGTAGGTTGAGTTTGGGGTGGTTGATGGGACCTTTGTGTATTAGGGCCATGGCCCGAGGGGAATGGAGGGTTTTAAGTGTTGAGCGATGACACAGGTGCATAGAAACACCTCGCCGCAGGGGGGTCATTATTATATCATATGGTCAGGGCAGGATAATCTATTAAAATCCAAGTAAACCGTTGGACGGGCCCCTCAGACCCCGTACTCAGGGGCAGATCCAAGCCGGGCAATTTTGTCATAGAAGCCCTTACACACAATGTTCATTCAATCGTCAACTCCAAGTCTTTTGGCCTGCGAGTGAAGCTGGCAGGGGCTTTAAACCAACTGGTTCCACCAAACCAACTCTCCATTGCTTTGGTGCCAGACACGGGCTCCTCAACCACGACGCGCGAAGCCTCTGGTACATCCCAATCAATTGTTTGTCGCCAGCAGGCGTGAATCTTGGGGGCGAACTGCCATGCCTCGCGACTAGTGGGTGGTAGAAGAAACAACTCTCCTTGCCCACATAAAAGGATTCCCACCACCAAAATCCGAAAGATATTTACGATCTTTCCAATCCTTCAATACAACAGGGTCGGACTGGGTACAGAGAGCTGAAACCACTTGTGATCCAGCGGGTCAAGATATTCCCCGCTGGGTGAGGGTCCCGGAGGGCACACGGGCGCCCAGACCCCGCTACTGTTGGAAAAGTGTGAATCAATGGGGCGGTTGGAGGGTCCAGTAATGCTTTTATTCCTGTTTAAAGTGTCTGTGGCAAAACTCCAGGAAAAAAAAGACAAAAAAACAAGAGAGCAACAGTCAGAAGGCAGGAGCGTCTGAGGGATCACGTCGTTGGCGCGGGGACGAGCCGGAAGGTGAGCCGCTACTGCTTCTAGGACTCTATACGCTTGCTACTGCCTCTACTGCTTCGACTCGCCTCTACTGGCTTCTACTGCCTCTACTGCCGTCTACTGCTTCTACGGCTTCTCTGGCGTTCTACTGACGCTACTGCCTCTTCTATCTGCCTTCTACTGGGCTTTTCGACTGTTCGACGGCCTATACGGCTGTCTATACTGCCTCTAGCTAGCTTCTACTGACTCTACTGGCCTCTCTGCCTCTACGGCTTCTAACTGCCTCGACTCGCCTCTGACTGCTTCTACTGGGCCTCTACTTCCGTCTTCTGCCCTCGAGCTTCTACTGGCTTCGAACGGCTGACTACTGCCTCTCACTGCGTCTACTGGCCTCGACGGGCTTTGTCTACTGACTCTACTGACGCGACTACATCTACGGACCTCGAACACTGCTTGTCTGTATCGTCTGACGCTTCTAATAGGACTCTAACGGGGACTCTACTGACTCTACTGCCTCCTACTCTGCCTCTTCTGCAGCTACTGCTTTTCACTGGACTCTACAGACTCTATTGCCTCTACACTGGCCTCTAACCGCCTCTACTGGACTCTACTTACATCGACTGACTCTACTGCCTCACTGCGCTTCTATTGCCTTCTCCCGCTACTGGACCCTATACTGATATACGGACTCGATCTGGACTCTACTGGCCTCTACTGCGGTCTACTGGCCTCTACAACTTGCAGGTCTGTCTGCCCTCTACTGCATCTACTGATCTCTACTACTACTGCTTCTACGGTCTCTACTGGACTCACTGCTCTTCGGGACTTTACTGCCCTACTACTTGCTTCGAACTGCCACTAATCCTCGCCTCTACGGCCCTACTGCAATCTACTGCGTAACTTGCCTCGACTGCTTCGACTGCCCTACTCTGATGTCAGATTCTGATTTCATTTTTTGGGGCCATGTGGCAGGTAAAAACCACAATTGGAAAAACTGGGGCAAGGACTAACCCGGTGGAGTCTACCCAACTGCGGAGACGACACACACAATCCAACAAGAGCTCTTGCCACGGCGCCAATCGTTTACGGCGCCATGCGACAAACAGTAGGAATAAACAGCAGTGAGCAATAACTTCAGTTTCACAGACAGGGTTGGATTATCACATTGTGCCTGGTGGTAAAGGCAACGGATTTGGGCTCGTGATGAGCACCCCCCTCGGACAGCCGCCCAATGTGTGCTGTCAGAGGGGGGCGGGTCCAGGAGGTGGGGTGATCGAAACACAGTGGGAGGTTGGAAGGGAGGGAGGGAGCATAGAGGGATAGAGAGAGGGCGGGGGAACGGGGAATCCGAGCTGGGAGAATGAAGTGTGAGATTGAGTGGTAGTGTGGACCGTTTGGTTATTTTGGCCTGGGGGGCCCGAGATTGTAGATGAAGAGTGAGAGAAGACACCATGGCAGGAGATACACATCGGCCGGCAGAGGGGACTAGAGTAAAGCAATGGCCAGGCAGGATATACTAGTATAATCCAAAGTAAAATAATCCGGATGGACGAGGGCGCCCTCAACCCCGGGGGGGGGTATCGGGGGCGGGGGGGGTGGTACTCTGAGGGCACAGAGCCAGACGGGTCAGAGAGTTCAAGCCGTCTCTCCATGGCTTTCAAGCTCATCTCCAGAGTCTTATGTCCATCGAGTGAAAGATCTGCGAGGTCTTTAAACTATCTGTGTCCTCCAAAACCACACTCCCTTGGGCATACAATCGGAACTCGCCTACCACGACGGCGGCGAACTCCGTGGTACCTTTCCATCAATTTTGTGCGGCCCGACAGGGCGTGAATCTTGCAACTGCCATGCATTCCGATTTGGTGGTAGAAGAGAACAGCTACTAGCCCTAACAGGAGGATGTGTCCCACCACCTAAATGGGCCAAAGTTATAGACGTCTCCCGGATCTGACTATAGGACAGGTCCGACAGACAAGGTGCTGGAAACTTGGTTCCAGCTGGTCAAGAGTAGACCCCGCTGGTGATAGGTCCCCCGGGCACATCCGGCCTCCAACCCCGCTTACGGGTGGAAAAGTTAAGAATCAAGGCGTTGACGGGTCCAGTTAATCTATTTTCCTGTCTGGTAAAGTTGGGGTGTGGGCTAAACTCCCAGGAAAAAAAGACAAAAACAGGAGATAAGCAAGCATCAACAAGCATGACGTCTGAGACAACGTCTGGTGGGGCTCGACGATGCGGAAGAGAGGGGCCTCTACTGGGGGGGCTCGACTGCCGGCGACGGCTTCTACTGCCTCGATCTCGTCGACTGCCTCACTGCCGTGCTACTGCCTCTACTGCTTGCACCGCTGCGAACTGCTTCTAGCGGCTTCTACTCTCTACTGGCCTCTACTCGACTTAAGCCGCTACTGCTTCTTCGACGGCTTCACTGGCCTCTATCGGAGGGCGTCTGACTCCCGCTACTGCTTCTACTGTCTCGTACGGCCGCTTCTAGTCCTTCGAACTGCTGTGCTACTGCCCTCTAATTACTTGCCGCTCATGCTTCTACTCGCCGCGTCGGCCCTCTACTGCCTCAACGAACTGCTTCTACATGGGCGGTCTACGTGCGGCTACGGCTCTACGCTTCTTTACTGGGGCCTCTACTTGGCTGCTACGGGACGCGACTGGGACTCTACTGGACGTCCTACTGACTCTACGCTTCTACAGCCTATACACTGCTTCGACTGGACTCTAACGGACGCTACTTGACTCGACTGGCCTCTACTATGGCCTCTACTGCCCTCGACGGGCTTCTTAACTGACTCTAACGACTCTACTGCCTCTACTGCCTCTACTCTCCTGGCCTCTACGACTCTACCGGACTCCTACTGACTGCTACGCTCTACGGCCTTCTACTGCCCTCTACTGCCTCTACTGACTCGACTGCTTCGACGACTCGTACTGATCTCTGGCCGCTACTAGCGTCTAACTCTGCCTCGACTCCTCTACTGCAGTCTACTCGGGGGGCCGGCTACTACGCTTACTGCGCGATCTTGACTCTACTGACTCGACTCGCCGTCCTACTGTTCTGATGCCTTACGGCCTCTACTGCGGCGACTGCCTGCTTACTCCTCTTTCACTGGCCTCTACTTGCCATCGACTGCTTCTACTGCCTCGTACTGGGCTTCTGACTGCCTCCGACTCTGATTGCAGAGTCAGATTCATTAATTGGGCCTTGGCAGTAAAACCACATTGTGAATAACTGTGCAAGACTTACCCCGTGGTCACCAGACAGAGGTAACGTACACACACCAGAGCGCTTTGCACGGCGCCCATCTTACGGCGGCCATGCACAAACAAGTAAATAAACAGCAGAGTCAAGAACAAACAGTTTCACAATACAGGTGGATAGTCCTTGGTGCCGTGTTGGAAAGGGCCTCGGTTGGGTGCCTCGGGATGAGCTCGATCGCCGTCTGACACCGGCCCATTGTGGCTGTCAGAGGGGGGGGCGGGGGTCAGGAGGGGGTGGAGTGTCGGAAAACACAGTAGAGTGGAGGGGAGGGAGGGAGCTAGGATGGAAGTTATGACGGGAAGCGGGGTGAGTCCGGGATCCCCGAGGCTGGAACTGGAAGTGTGGAGATTGTTGTAAGGGGACCGTTGTGTATTATGGGGCCTTGGGCCCGAGGTATGTGAATAAGAGTGGAGTAAAAACACAGCAGGGAGGATAAACACATCCCGCAGGGGGGGGGGGAAATATTTAAATGCAAGGTCAGGCAGAATATATGACGTATTTAATCCAATGTCAACCGGGGGAAGTATCGGCGCAATCTACCCCGGACACTAGGGGGGCAGATTCCAAGCCCGGGTCAGGAAGGAGGGGTGGCAAGCCGACACACATTTCATTTCAATCTCAACTCCAAGCCGTATTCCTTCGGAGTGAACGAGCTGCTGGGCTTAACCAACTGTTCCTCCAAAACCACTCTCCTATTGTCCAGACACGCACGCTCTCCTCGACGCGGCAGAAGCTCCTTGTACATCCCTAGCAGGTTGTCGGCCAGCAGGGGGGGGGGGCTGAATCTTCGAACTGCCATCCTACCGGATTTTGGTGGGTAGATGAGGTACAACTCCATGCCCATACAGGAGAGGCCCACCACCAAAAGGCCAAAGAATATATGTCGTCTTGCCGATTCGTCAATAGTACAGGGGTCGACAGGACAGGAGGGGGCTGTAACTTGTACAGCTGCAAGAGTATACCCCCGCTGGTGAGGCCCGTCCGGTCTCACGCTCCCAGACCCCGCTTACGGGGGTGAAAAGATAGATTCAATGGGCGTGGGGGGACCATTAATCCAGTCCATTCTAGTTAAAGTTGTCTGTGGCAAAACTCCAGGAAAAAAGACAAATCTGAGAGAGCAAGCAGTGTCAGAATGCAGGCGTCTGAGACACAGCACGCCTTGGGGGGCTCGTACGGTGGGCCGGAAGGGAGCCGCTTACTGCGTCTACTGGCCGCGACTGGCTTCTACTCACTAAGCCTCTACGGCTGCTACTGCCTCACTGCTTCGAACTGCCTCTACTGCTTCTACGGCTGTCTACCGGCTTCACGCTTCACTGACTCTACTGCCTCTACTGCCATCTACTGATTCTACGGGGCTCTTCTGCCTCCAAACGGGGGCTTCTTGACTGCCTCTACGCTGCCTGACTGACTCGACATGGCCCTCTTCTGCCTCTACCATGCTTCTAATGCCTCTACTGCCTCTACTGCTTCGATCGAACTACTTGCCTCTACTGGGCCTTACTGCCTCGAACTACGGCTTCTACTGCTTCTTCTGCTTCTACTGCCTCTACTGCTTCTACGCCTCTACTCGCTGTCGACTGACTCGACGACTCTTCTGTACGCTACTGACTCTACTGGCTTCGACTGAACATACTGCTCGACTGGGACCGCTACTGGATCTCGACTGGACATCTACTACTGGGCCGCTACTGCCCTTACGAACTGCCGTCTACTCTTCCTTACTGACGCGACTACTCTACGGGCCTCGACTGGCCTCTACGGCCGCTACGGAAGCTAACTGTCTCGACTGACTCACTGCCTCGACTGGGGCCTCTAACTCACGGGGCCTTCTCCAGCCTCTACGGACTCTACTGCTTCTACTACTCGTCTGGACTCAACTGCCTCTACGGCTTCTACGCCTCTACTGCCTCTACGGACGCTAACTATTGCCTCTACTGACGTCTACTGCTTCTGACTGACGTCTCAACTAGGCTCAACGTGCTCTTCTACTTAGCCTGTTACTGCCTCTACTGCTGCGACGCCTCTACGCCGTCTACTAAGGCCTCTACTAGGGCCTCTACGGCTTCCTACGGCCTCTACTGCTTCTACTCGCCTCTACTCTGATTCAATTCAGTTTCAGTTTTTTTCCATGTTTTCATAAAACCACATTGGTAAAACGGGGCAAGACTCCCGGTGGGCCACCAGACAGAGGAGTACGAAACACACACCAAGCTCTTGCCACGCGCCACTTATCGCGCCATGCGACACAACAGTAGAATAAACACCAGTGAGGGCAAGATCAAGACAGTGCACATGGACAGTGGTGCGTACTCAGGGGGGAGCCTGGGTGATTCACGGATTTTTGCTCGGGGAATGGAGCACCTCGGTCAGCCGCCAATGGGGGGCTGGGCTAGGGGGGCGGGGGTCAGGGAGGGGGGTGATTCGGGTGAAACACAGGAGGAGTGGAGGGGAGAGGAGGGGAGGCAAGAATGGAATAAGAGGGAGGCGGGGGAGATACGTGATCCAGCGGAGACGGAAGTGTGAGATTGGTTAGATGGGACCTTTGTTATATCTAGTGCCGTGCCCGAGGGAATGGGAGTATAAGGAGGTGGGGAGAGAAGACACAGCAGAGAAACACATCGCCTCATGGACAATATTAATAGCATGGCAGAATATTATTAGTAAATCCAATTAAATATACCGGATTTGACGGCGGCCCTCAAACCCCGTACACAGGGGCCAAGAAATGGGCCATAGCCGGTCAGTAGGGAGTGTTCACGGCTAGGACACACAATGTCATTCAATCTCAACTCCAGAGTCTTATGTCACGAGGGAACGAGCTGCGGGAGGGTCTTTAACCAACTGTTTCCTCCCAAAACCACTCTCCGTGGGGTCCAGACAAGGCACGCTCAAACCGACGCGGCTACTCCAGGTAAATACCCATCAATTTTGTCGCCAGCAGTCGTGTATCTTGGGGCATACGCCAGCCTCCGAATGTTGTGGGAAGATAAAACACTCCAAGCCCAAACAGGAAGGGATTTCCCACACTCACCCTAAATGCCAAAGATATATCGTCCTTCCGATGCTGCAATGTGACAGGTCGGAAGGACAGAGGCTGAAACGTGGTTCCCACTGGTCAAGAGTATACCCCCTGTGAGGGTCCCGGCCGGGCATGACGGGGCGCTCCAGTACCCGCCTTACGTGTTGAAAAGATAAAGCATTGGGCGTGGAGGGTCGCATTATTCTGGTCCAGGCTGGAAAGGTGGTGGTCGGTGGCAAATCTCCAAAAAAAAGACAAAAACTTAGGTAGAGCAAGCAGGTCAGAGCAGGGAGGCGGCTGAACACGTCCTTGCTCGACGGAGGCGGAAGTGAGCCTCTAAATCGTGGGGCGGCTAAATCTGCCATCTACTGCTTCACGTGGGCCTCTACTGCGTCTACGCTGCCTCTACTGCTGCTACGGCCGCTACTGCTTGCTACTGGCTTCGACTGCTTCTACTGCTTCTACTGACTCTACCTGCCTCGTACAGGCGCGACTAGCTCTTACGGCTGCCTACTGCCTCTACTGCTTCACTACTGCAGCTACTGCGTTCGACGACTCCTTACTGCCTCTACTGCCTCTTTACGCTGCTACTGCTCTTCTGCCTCTACTGCTTCTACTGGCCGTCAACTTGCCTCTACTGCCCTCTACTTGACTGCTTCTACTGCTGTCACTTGCTGTCGACTGGCCTCTACTGCTTCTTCTGCCTCGACTCGACGGTTGCGACAGGACGAGACGGACTCTACCTGATCTACGGTCTCTACGGCGTCGACTGGGGACGTTACTGCTGCTTACTGTCTCGACTGGACTCTACATAGACTCTACTGCCGCTACGGGGCCCTCGACTGCCTTCGAACTGCTTCTACTGACCTACGACTCTACGCGGCCTCGACTGCCTCTACGGCATCTACGGACTCTACTGACTCTACTGATCTACAGCCTCTACGGGCCTCTACTTGCCTCTTACTGCTCTCGACTGACTCCACGGCGCGACTGGGACTCTACCTGGACCCTATCTGCCGCGACTGCTCTACTGGCCTCTACTGCCGTCTAACCTGCCTCTACTAGCCTCTACTGACTCTAACTGCTTCTAGACTGACTCTACTGCTCTACTGCCTCTTAAAGGCCTGTTTACGGCCGCGATCGGGCTCTACTGTGGCCTCTACGGCCTCTACTGCCTCTCTCGGCCCTCTCTTGCTTCTACGGCCTCGACTGCGTCTTCTACTGCCTCTACCGATTCAGATTCAGATTCATTTATTTGCCATGTCATAAAAACCACATTGGAAAAGACGAGGTGCAAGACTAATACCCCGGTGTGCACCAGAACAGAAGGGAGGGACGAACACACCAAGCTCTTCCACGGCGCCATCTGTTCGGCGGCCAGGGGTGGCTCATAACAGTAGATTAAACAGCTAGATGCAATAACTACAGGGTCACAGACAGGTGGGACATAGACTCGTTGGTGGCCGTGTGTATAGGGGGCACGATGTGTGGCGCGGATGACACCTCGGGGACTGCCGGGGCCCAATGGTGGGCTGTCAGTGGGTGGGCGGGGTCCAGGGAGGGGGTGGAGGTCGGGGAAAACCGACAGTGTGGGGAGTGTAGGGAGGGAGGGGAGCAAGATGGTTAGAGAGTGAGAGCGGGGGAGACGGGATCCGATCTGGGTGGACTGAAGAGTGAGATTGGTTTGGTAGAGGGGACCTTTGTTATGATGGCCGTGTAGGCCCGAGAATGTGTGGAATAAGAGTGAAGGGAAGGACACATGCTGGAAAACACAGCGGGCCGGCAGGGGACAATATTAAATTGCTATGCGCAGCAGTATATTCTATAAAGCCATATTAAACCGTTGTAACGGCGCCCCGCTGAACACCGACAACAGAAGATCCAAGCAGGGCATAGGTTTCAAGGCCTGACACACAAGGGGCGTTCTAGCTCAACTCCAGATCTTAGGGCACATCGAGTGAACGGACTGCGTAGGGGTCCGCTGTTACAAACTGTTCACATAACCACTCGCCTTTTCCAGAACACGGGCACTCCTCAACCACACGCGGCGAAGCGCCTGTGTACTTACACCCATGTCATTTTGTCGGCCACAGGCGGGAATCGGCGAACTGCCAGGGCCTCCGAAGGTGGGGGTATAAGAAGACTCTCCAGCCCAAACGGAGATTTCCCACCACTCAAATGGCCAAAGATATACGGTCGTCCGAATCCGCAAGTAGACAGTCGACATGACAGAGGCTGGAATCTTGTTGCCTGCTGTCATAGGATACCCCCTGGTGAGGGGTCCCCATCCGGTGGCACCGGGCGTCTCCAGACCCCGCGTTACGTGGTGAAATAAGATAGAATCAATTGCGTTGGGGAGGGCCAGGTTATATCTTTTGCCATTCGGGAAAGTTGTCCTGGGGGCATAACAGCCAGGAAAAAAGGACAAAATCAGAAGAGCAAGGCAGTTCCAAAGCAGGAGCGTTCTGGTGTGACTCGTACTTTTGCTCGACGGATGCGGAAAGATGAGCCCACTACGGCTGCTACTGCCTCTACGCTGTGCTGACTGCCTCTACTGCTTCTACTGCCTTCTACTGCTTTCTAACTGCCTCTACTGCTGTTGCTACTGCAGCTGTCCTTCTTGCTTCTACTGCCTTCTTCTGACGCTACTGGAATCTTCTGCCTCTACTGCTTCTAACGCTTCTACTGCATCTACTGCTGCTACGGCCCTCTACGTGCTTTCTACTGACTTCTAGATGCGCCTCAACTTGCCGCTACTGGCGTCTACTCTGCCGCTACTGCCTCTGACTGCTCTACTACCTCTGATCGAGGCCTCTACTGCCTCTACTGCTTCTACTGGGCTTCTACTGCTGCTACGGCCTCTATCTACTCGTCTACTGCCGCTATACGCTTCTCCAGACTCTACTGGGATATCACTGTCTCTACTGACCTACTGCTCGTCTGGTACTATACTGCTATTTACGACGCTACTGACTCGACGGACGTCTATCTCTACTAGCCTCCTACAGCCTCTACCTGACGGCCGACTGCTTCTAACTGACTCTACTGCGCTACTGTGGCCTCTGACTGCCTGCTAACTGCCCTACTGACTCTAACTGACCGCGACTGGACTCTACTGCCCTTCTACTGCCTCTAGCTCCTCTACTGCCTCTACTGACTCGACTTGCTTCTACTGACTCGACGGACGCGACTGCCTGCTACTGCTCGTCAGCCTCTACGGCCTCGACTGGCCTCTACGTCCGCTAACTGGAAGCTACGTGCTGCTACTATATCTATCGACTGACGCTAACGGGGCATCTAACTTGCCTTTACTGCCTCTACTGCTTCTACGGCCGCTACGGCCTCTAGCTGCCTCTAACTGCTGCCAGTCCACTGCCTGCACGGCCTCATCTCTTCGTACTGCTCTACTCTTTTCAGTTTCAAGTCAAGGTATTTGGCCATTTGCAGTAAAACCACAGTGAAACAACTGGTGCAGAGACGACCCCCGGTGTCTCCAGACAATGGAACGACACACACCAGATCCTTGGGACTGGCCACGGCGCCATCTGTACGGCGCCATGGGGCGACAAAACAGTTAATATTAAACAGCAGAGACTATAACTTACAGTTTTCACAGAGTTGTGATAGATCAACAAATTGTGCCGTGTGTATAGCCGTATTTTGGTTGCTCGGGGTTGAGCACCTCTTCAGCCCCCTGATTGGCTTGGCAGAGGGGGGCGGGGGCTGGGAGGGGGGTGGAGTCGAAACGAAGGGAGGAGTGGAGGGGAGGGGAGGAGCAATGAGGGATGAGGAGGAGGGAGGCGGGGAGGACGGGATCTCGAGCGGGAGACTGGGAAGGTGGAGATGGTTGGAGAGGGGACCGTGTGTTATTATGGGGCCTGTGGCCCCGAGAATGTGAGTATAAAGTGGGAAAGTCACAGCAGAGAAATCACATCGCCGTCAGGGGACAAGATTAATGGCATTGTCAGGCAGATAAGCTAGTAAATCCATTAAACCGATGGTCGCGGAGCCATCATGTAGACAGTCCCCGTACACAGGGCTGATTCAATGCCGGGGTCAGAGAGTGCAAAAGCCCCACACAAGTCTTTCAATGCGCCTACGCCAGAGTCGTATTGCCATAGAGTGAACAGGCGCGAGGCTTGTAACCATCTGTTTCCACAAAACCGTCTCTCCTTTGGGCCTACACGGCACTCTCAAGCCTCAGACGCGGCGATGATCCTTGGGACACCCTTCAAGTTTGTCGGCCACAGGGTCGTGAATCTGGGCGAACTGCCATGCCCTCCGAATTTGGTGTAGAAGAAAACCGCGTCCAAGCCCAACAGGAGGATTCCCACCACAAAAATGGCAAAGATATATACGGCGCCGAATCGTCAATAGACCAGGGTCGACAGACAGAGGGCTGGGAAACTTGTTCCAGCTGTCGAAAGATATACCCCCTGGTGAGGTCCCGTCTCGCCACACGGCTCGTCCAGACCCGCGCGTACAGTTTGAAAAGATAGAATCAAGGGAGGTGAGGGGACCAGTTAAAATCAGTTCCTTTCCTGTTTAAAGTTGTCTGTGGCAAAACTCCAGGAAAAAAAAAGACAAAAACATGAGAGTAGATGCAGTCAAGAAGCATCGTTCCTGAGACACGTCTTTGCGCGACGGAGGGCGAAGGGTGAGCCCTACTGCTTCGACTGGCCTCGACTGCTTCGACTTGCCTCGACTTCTTCTACTGCCGCTACGCGTTCGACTGCCTCTACGGCTTCCGACTGGGCTTCTTACTGCTTCGAACGGCTTCTACGGACTCACCTGGCCTCACTGCCTCTACGCTTCTACTGGCGTCTAACGGACTCTACGTGCTTCTCACTGCCTCTACTGCTTCTACTGACTCAACTGCCTCTACGCCTCTACTGCTTTTCTACTGCCTCTACTGCCCTTCTACTGCTGCGATCGTACTCGACGGCTCTACTCCTCTACGCCGCACGGCTTCTACTGCTTCTACTGCTTCTACTCTCTACTTGCATCTAACTGCCTCTACTGCTTCTACTGCCTCTACTGACTCAACTGACTCTCTGACTCTACGGCTCGACTGACATACGGATTCTACGGGACTCGACGACTCTACTCGAACTCTACGGCCTCTACTTGCCGCTACTACTGCCTCGCACGGCTTTACGGAGCTTCTACTGACGTCTACTGCCTCTAGCTGCCTCTAAGACTGCCTCTACTGACTCTACTGGACTCTACGGGACTACTACTGGACCCCCCCCATCGTCCAGGCCTCCTACCTCGCCTCTACTGGGCCTCTACTGGATCATATCTGCTCTACTTGACTCTACTGACTCTACTGCCTCACCGGCTGCTACTGGCCCTAACAGCCTCGACTGCCGCTACTAGCCTCTATCTGAACTCGTTACTGCTCCTACTGTACTCTACTGACTCTACTGCCGCTACTTACTGCCGTACCTGCCTCTACTGCGTCGTACTACTTCGCTCGTACTTCCTTCGACTGGCCTCTACTGGCTCTTCTGCTTGCTACGGCCTCTACTGGCTTCTTCTTTGTGGCCTCGTACTCTGGGATTCAGGATTCCAGGTTTCATCTATTTGCCATTTGGCAGTAAATACCACTGGGAAAAACTGTGCATGACGCGACCCCGTGTGCACCAACGGAGGAGACGGACACTCACCTGAGCGCTTGTGCCAGGCGCCATCTTTAAGGCGCCATGCGGAGGGGGGGGGGGGGGGGGGGGGGGGGGGGGGGGGGGGGGGGGGGGGGGGGGTGGGGGTGGGGGGGAATAAAAATAAAAAAATATAAAAACAAACAAGTAGTATAAAAACATCTGTACAATAACAGACAGTTTCACAGACTGGTTGGATAGACACTGTGGGCCTTGTGTAAAGCACAGATTTTGCGTCGGGATGAAGCTCCTACTGACAGAGCCGGCCCGTCTGGTGGGCCTGTCGAGGGGGGGGGCGGGGGTCAGGGGAGGGGGGGTGATCGAAAACACAGTGATGGAAGGGGAAGGGGTGGGAGGAGAAAATGGATAGAGAGGTGAGGCGGGGAGAGTACGGGGAATCCGGGAGCGGAGGACTGATGTGTGAGATTGTTGTAGAGGGGACCTTTGTTATTATGGCCCTTGCCCGGAGGAATGGTGAGATAAGAGTGGGGAGAGAAAGACAAACAGGAGAAACACATCGCCTCAGGACAATTATGAATTGCTTGTCAGGCTGATTTTCGACGTGAAATCCAAAGGAAAACCGAATTACGACGGCGCCCTCAGACCCCGTACACAGGGGGCAGATCCAAGCCGGGTCAGAGATTCAAAAAGCCTGAACACACTAATGTCATTCAATCGCAACTGCCAAGGCTTCGATGGCCAGCGAGGTGGAACGAGCTGGCGGAGGGTCCTTTAACTACTGTTCCACCAAACCACCGCCTTTGTCCAGACACGGGGCACTCGCAACCTACGACGCGGGCGAAGCGCCTTGTACATCCCATCATGTTTGGGGGAGGCGCACAGGGGCGTTGGATCTTGGCGAACTGCCGATTGCTACCGGTTTTGTGGTAGAAAGAACAGCTACAAGCCCATACAGGAGATTCCCACCACCATAAATGCCAAAGAGATATATCTCTTCCGGATAGCGGCAGAGACAGCGGTCGACAGGACAGAGGCGGAAACTTGTTCCAGCTGTCAAAGTATAACCCCGCGGGGTGAGGTCCCGGCCGGAGCACACGGCTTCTCCAGACCGCAGCTTACGGGTTGAAAGTATAAATCAATTGCGTTTTTTTGAGGGACCAGTTAATCATTCCATTCCTGGGGTTAAAGGTGTAACTGTGGCAATACTCCTGGAAAAAAAAGACAAAAAAAACGAGGGGGAATATAGCAAGCAGTCAGAACAGGAGCGTGCGGAGAACATTACGTCGTTGCCTGACGGAGCGGAAGTGAACCCTCGACTCGCTTCTACTGCCTCTTACTGCTTGCTACTTCCTTCTATCAGCTTCTACTGGGCCTCTACTGCTCACTCGCCGCTACTCGCGGCACTGGCTTCCTACGTGGCGTCTTACTGCTTCTACTGACGCTACTTGCCCTCTACTGCCTCTACGCTCGACTGGCTTCTATACTGGCCTCGACTGCTTCTACTGCCTCTACTGACGTGCTTACTGGACTCCCTACTTGCCTCTACTGCCTCTACTGGCTGGCTACTGCCTCTACTGCCATCACTGCTTCTACTAGGCCGCTCTGCCCTCTACTGGCCGCTACTGATTCTCTTCGTCTACTAGCTGTCGACTCGACTCTACTGGGCTGTCTACTGGCCTCTACTGGCTTCTACTGGGTCTCTACTGTCTCGACGGAATCTACTGGTACTCTAACGGCGTCTACTGACTTTACTTGATTCATACTCGACGCTACGGGATCTCACTGACTCGTACTGCCTCGACTGAGCCTCGACATACTGCTGCTACGCTTCTACTTGACTCTACTCGAATCTACGGGCCGCTACTGCCCTCGACTGCCTCTACTGAATCTAACTCGACTCTACTGACGCACCTGCCTCTACGCACTCGAACTTCTGCCTCTACGGCCTTCTAAAACCTTGGTAAAACGCTTACTGCTTCTACTGTCGCTACGGGGACTCTACTGCTCTTACTGCTTCTAACTGCCTCACTTGCATCTACTGGTGCCGGCTAACTTGCCTCGAAATGACTCTACTGCTTCTACTACTCTACGACTCTACGGCCGTCTACTGCCGTGACTGCCTCTAACTGCGTCGTCTGGCAGTCTACTTGCCTCTACAGCCTCTACTGCCTCTAACTGCGTCACGGCCTCACGGGCGTCTACGCCTCTACTCTGATTCAGATCAGAATCATTGAGTTGGGCCATTTTTGCAGTAAAACCACAGTGGAAAAACGGGTTGGCATGACTACCCCGGTGTGCACCAGACTGATTGGAACGACACACACCAGAGGCTCTTGTCCACAAGCGCCATCTTTAGGCGCCAGCGTCAAACAGTAGAATAAACAGCTGAGAGCTATTACATATCAGTTTGTTCACAGAAAGTGGATAGGGACACAGTGGGCCTTGATGTAAAAGCCAACGATTTTTGCTCGGGGGATGGAGCACCTCTGGATCAGCCGGCCCAAGGTGGCTGCAGCAGGGGGGCGGGGTCAGGAGGGGGGTGAGATCGGGATAACACAGTAGAGATTGGAGGGGTGGAGGGGGTTCAAGATAAAGAGAGGAGTCGGTGAGACGGGACCGAGCTGAGACTGAAGGTGTGAGATGGGGTTGGAGCTGGGGTCCTGTGTTATAATGGCCGTGGCCCGGAGGAATGTGAGAATAAGGATGGGAGAAAGACAATGCGTGGGAGAATCACTTCGCAGCAAGGGGACAATATTGAAATGCTATGTCAGGCAGAGAGTCTACTAAATAATGCCAGTGATAATAAAAATACCGAAGGACGGGCGGCACTCAGAACCCCGTACACAGGGGCAGTATCCAAGGCCGGACAGAGGAGTTCAAACAGGACACACAATGTCATTGCAATCTCCATCTCCAGAGGCGATGTCCATGCGAGGGATCGAGCTGCGAGGCGTTTAACCAACTGTTTACCTCCAAAACCACTCTCCTTGGGCAACACGCTCCCTCAACCACGCAGCGTCGCGGCTAAGCTCATGTACATTCCCAACACTTTGTGTCGTGCCCCAGCAGGTCGGTGAATCTGCCCGAACTGCCAGGCCTCCGAATTATTGGTGGGGGGGTAGAGAACATCTCCAAGCCCAATCAGGAGATGTCCCACCACCAATAAGGCCAAAAGATATAAAACGGTCTTCTCCGAATCGTCAATAGACAGGTTCGACGACAGAGGGGGCGGAAACTGTGGTCCAGCTGGCAAGGAGAATACCCCGCTGGTGTGGGTCCCGTCCGGCGCCTACACGCTCTCCGACCCGCCTTAATTGAAAATATAAAGCAAATGCGTTGAAGGGGTACCACATTAAGTCATTTCCAATTCTGGTTAGAAGTTGCTGTGCAAAACTCCCAGGATAAAAGACAAAAACAGAAGATAGCAAGCAGTCAGAAGCTGGACGTCTGAGACTCCACACGTCTGTGGGCGACAACGGAGGCGAAGGTGACCTCTACTGGCTGTGCTACTAGCCGCGGACGGGCGACTGCTCTACTGCCGCTTCTCGGCTGCGACGCCGTACGCTTCGACTGGGGGCCTGCCCTACTGGGCGGCGATCTGGCTTGCTTACTGCTTCACTGCTTCTACTGACTCTATAGCCTTCTACTGGCATCGTCTGCTTCTAACGTCTGCTTCTTCAGCCTCGAACGGCTCGACTGGGGCCGCGACTGCTGCTACTTCCGACGCTGACTTCCGTCTACTGCCTCAAGGCTTCTTCTACTGCCTCTACTGCCTCACTGCGGTCTACTGGCCTCGACTGCCTTACTGCCTCTACTGCTTCTACTGCTTCGACGGGCTTCTACGGCCTCGACAGCTCTACGCCTCTAACTGCGTCGACTGACTCTAGGCGGGTCTCTACGACACTACTGTCTCTACTGCCTTCTCTGACTATACTGCGTCTACTGATACTCTACTGACTCTACGACTCTACTGCCCGACGCCGCTACTTGCCGCTACTGCTTCTAACTGACTCTACTGACTCTACTGCCTCCTACTGCCCTCTATCTTACTGCATCAATGACTCTTACTTGACGCTTACTGACTCGACTGCCTCCTACTGGCCTCTTACTGCCGCTACGACTGCCTCTACGGACTCTAATGGCTCTACGGACTCTACTGACTCTACTAGGGGCCTCACTGACTTCTACTGCTCTACGGCCATCTTACGGCCTCAACTGCTCTTCTTGACTCCCTTCTGCTTCGTCTGACTCTTACTGAACCCTACTGGCCCTCTACTCTTCCTTTTCTGCCTCACTACTGCTTCGTAACGGCCTTCTACTGCCTCTACTTGCCCTCTACTATACTGGCCTCTACGGCTTTCGAACTGCCATCTACTGCTTCTACTGGCCGCTACTACTCTGATCAATTCAAATTCATTATTTGGCCATTTTGGGCAGTAAACCACTTTGGGGTAAAACTTGCAAGACGACCCCGTGGGGCACCAACAGAGAGAGACGACACACACCAAGCTCTTGCCACGCCCATCTTTACGGCGCCCATGAGATCAACAGGAGAATAACATGCAAAGAGCAATAACATACAGGTTTTCACAGACAGTGTTGATATCACAGTTTTCCTGTGTATAGCTCGGATGTTGTGCTCGGGATGGAGCACCGCTTTACAGCCGCCCATGGTGGCTGTCAAGGGGGTCGGGGGGTCAGAGGGGGTGGAGGTCGGAAAACACAGGAGGAGTGGAGGGAGGGGGTGGGTGCATGATTGATAGAGAGGAGGGCGGGGGAGACGGAATCCACGGAACTGAAGGGTGAGAGGGGGTGTAGTTGGGACCTGTGTTATGTTAGGGCCTTCGGCCCGAGGAATGTGTGGAGAAAGTGGATGAGGATGACTCAGCCAAGGAGGAAACGACATCGCCTCAGGGGGAGCAATATTATATGTGCAATGGCAGGCAATATTCTATGAAAGCCAATTAAGCGGTTTTACGGGGCGCGCCTCAAGGATAACCCCGTTACACCTGGGGGCAGTTCCTTGCCGGGGTCAGAGGGAGTTCAAGCCTGTCTACACAATGTCATTCAATCGCAACTCCAGATTCTGAGGTGCCAGCGAGGTGTACGAGCTCGAGTGCTTTAACCATCTGTTCCACCAAAACCACAAGCGCCTTTGTGCCAGACACTGCACTCTCAACACGACGCGGCGGAACTCCCTTGGACAGATCCCAGCAAGGTTGTCGGCCACAGTGTGCCGGGAATCTTGGGGCGAACTGCCATGCCTCCGATGGTTGTGGTAGATAGAGAACAGCCCAAGCCAAACAGAGGATTCCAGCCACGCAAAATGCCAAAGATATATACGTCGTCCCGAATCTCAATATACAAGGGTCACAACGAGGGTGGCTGAACGTGTTCCAGCTGTCCAGAGTATACCGCCGCTGGTGGGTCCCGTCCGGAGCACACGGGCTCTCCCGACCTCGCGCTTACGTGGTTGAAAAGAATAGGAATCAATGGCGTTGGAGGGACCAGTTAATCATGCCAGTTCGGTTAAAGTTGGCTGTGGCTAAACTCCAGGAAAAAAAAGACAAAAAAACAGTAGGAGGCTAGGCAGTCAGAAGCAGAGCGTCGGAGACACGTCGTTGCGCGTCGAGGCGAAGTGGAGCCTCTAATACAGGCTTCGACTTGCCTCTTACTATACCGGGCTATCTACTGCCTCTACTCTTCTACTGCCTCGACGTGCTGCTACTGACTCGACTTACTACTGCTTCTACTGGCTTCTACTGCTTATACTCTGGCGTTCTCCTGACTCGACGAACTGCCTCTAAAATGCCTCTACTGCTTCTACGGCTCTACGGCCCTCCTACAGCGTGCTACTCCTCACTCTGCTACGGAATAGACGGCCTCTACTGCCTCACGGCTTCTACCGGCCTCTAACTACTAGGCTCTACTGCTTCTACGGCTCTACTGCCTCTACTGCCTCTAGGGCTGCTACTGCTTCGACGGCTTCTACTAGCCTCTACTGCTTCCTACTTGCCGTCTACGCGCGTCGACCTGACTCTACGGACTCTACTGGGACGTCGACTGACTCTCGACTTGCGGCTAAACTGCCTATTCTGCTTCACTGACTCTACTTGACTCTACTGACTCTACTGGCCTCTACTTTGGCCGGTCGACTGCCTCTACGGGGCTTGCGACTACTCCTACTGACTCTTACTGGGCATCAACTGGCCTCTACTGCCTCTACTGTGACTCTACTGGACTCTTCTGGAATATACTGGCCTCTACTTGCCTTCTACGAGCCTCACTGCCTCTACGACTCTACCAGGCTCTAACTGACTCTACGTGAAATCTACGGCCTCTACTAGCTTCTACTTTGCTCTACTGCCTCTCTCTGCCTCTACGGGGCCTCGTCTGACTCTACTGCTGTCTACTGGACTCTACTGTCAGCGACTGCCTCTACTGACTCAGCCTTTACTGCCTCTACTTGTTCTAAGGGCCTCAACCGGCCTCTAATGCCTCTACTCTACTGGCCTCTACTAGGCTTCTTTACTCTCTGCCTCGCGACTGCTTCGACTGGGGCCGACTACTACTCTGATGTCAGATGCAGATTCATTTATTTGCCTTTTTGGGCAGTAAACCACATTGGAAAAACTGTGCTAGAACTACCTCCGGTGCACTCACAGAGGAACGACTCACACTCTAGAGCCTTGCCACGGCGGGCCATCTTTTACGGCGCCATGCCGACAAACAGTAAGAAGAAACAGCATGAGAGCAATAACAGACATGGTCACAGACAGGTGTATGGATAGACACAGTGTGCTTTGTGTGAAGCACGGTTTTTAGGCTCCGGGGGATGTGCAAGCTCTGACAGCAGGCCCAATGTGGCGTGTCAGAGGGGCGGGGGTCAGGGAGGGGGGTGGAGTCGAAACACAGTGAGGAGTGGGAGGGTAAGGGGAGCAAGATGGATAGAGAGGGGGAGGCGGGGGTGGACGGGGATCCGAGCTGGACAATGGGAAGTTGTGTGATTGTTCGTAGATGGGAACCTTTGGTTAGTAAAGGGGTCCTTGGCCCAGGTATGTGAGTATTAAAGGGAAGAAGACACAGCTGAGAAACACATCGCCTCATAGGGTGGACAATAATTTAATTTGGCAATGTCAGGGGCCAGATATGCTTTTAAAATCCATGATAACCGATGTACGGCCCCGCAGACCCCGTACACAGGGCAAGCCAACCGTCAGAGAGGGTTCAAGCCGGACTCACAATGTAGTCAACATCCTCAACTCCTATTGATAGCCATCGAGTGGAACGAGCGGCGAGGTGTTACCACTGGTTTCCACAAAAACTCTCTCTTTGTCCAACACGGCACTCTCAACCAACGACGCGGCATAGCGCCCCTTGGATCATCCCACATATGTTGGTTCCGCCAGCAGCGATGATCTTCGACTGGCATGGCCTCCGATTTGTGGTGAAGAAGAAAACAGCTCCATCCCTAATCAGGAGGATTCCCCACCACCCATAAGGCCATAGAGATATCGCGTCCCGATTTCAATCATGAGACTGGGTGACAGACAAGGGCTGGGATAACTTGTCCACTGCAAGAGTATACCCCGCCGGGGAGGTCCCGTCCGGTCACACCGGGCTCTCCAACCCGCGCTTACGTGTTGAAAAGAGATATCACGTTGCGATGAGGGACCATTAATCATTTCCAGTTCTGTTAAATGGTGTCTGTGGACAATAACTCCAGGAAAAAAAAGACAATAAAACTGGAGATAGCAAGCTGGTCAGAAGCCAGAGCGTACTGAGACACGTCTTTGCTCGACGGAGCGGAGTGAACCTCTACGGCGTCTACTGCCTCTATACGGCTTCTAACTGCGCCTCTACGGGGGGCTTCTACTGGGCCGCTACTGCGGTCTACGGCCGCTTCGGGGGGCGTATACTGCTTCTACTGGCGTCTACTGCTTCTACGATACTCTAACGGCCGCGTCGCTACTGCCTCTAACAGCTTCTACTGCTTCTACGGCCTCTACGGCTTCTTAACTACTCCTACGGGCTGGTCTAGCTGACTCTACTCCCCGCTGCCGCGACGGCGTCTACGGCCTCTACTGCCGTCGACTGCGGCGTCTACTGCCTCGACGGCCTCTACTAGCCTTTCTACTGGCTTCTATCGCTCTTCTGCCGTCTTACGGCCGTCTATTGCGTCTACTGCCTCTACTGCTTCTATTGACTCTACTGACCTACTGCCTCTACTGGGAACTCTCCTTGCTTCTACGGACTATACTGCGTCTACTGGAGGGAATACTCTACTGACTCTACTGACTCTAATCTTGCTCTATCATTTACTGCCGCTACAGCCTCTACGCTGCTACTGGACTCGACCTGTCGCACTTGGGCCGCTACTTCGGCCTCTAGCGGCATCTACTGACGCTACCTGACCTACTGACTCACTGCCTCTACGGCCTGCTTCTCGCCTCTACTGCCTCTAATGACTCTACTTACTGCTTCTACTGACTCGATCTACTGACTCTACTTGGGCCGCGAATACTGGCTCTACTGTGCCTGCTACTCACTCGCCTCTACGCTCTACTTGCCGCCACTGACTCTACTGCGTCTACGGACTCTGACAGGACTCTACGCCTCTACGGCATGTTACGCGCCTCTTCTGCTTCCTACTGCCTCTACTAGGCCTCTACTGGCCTGATACTGCCCTCTACTCCTTCTACTAGCCTCGTACTTCTGTCTGACTGGCCTCTACACTGATTCAGTTTTCGATTCAGTATTGGCCATTTGCAGTAAAACCACTGTGGAAAAACGAGTGGCACGACTACCAAACGTGGGCACCGACAGAGGAGAACGAGAAAACACACCAGGAGCGCTTCCACGCGCCATCTTGTACGGGGCGCCATGCGAAGCAAACAGTAGAATAAAAACCATAGAGCAAGAACAGACCAGGGTTCACAGACAGTTGGTGAGGACCACATTTGGTGCCTTGGGTGTAAAAGAAAGGATTTGTTGTCTCGGATGGTGCAACCGCTGTCACCGGCGTGCAGCCGGCCCGAATGTGGCTGTGCAAGAGGGGGCGGGTCAGGAGGGGCGTGAGTCGGTAAACACAGGTGAGAGTTGAGGGGGAGGGAGGGAGCAAGATGGATAGAGAGAGGATGCGGGGAGACGGGATCCTAGCGGGAGACTGAAGTGTGGAGAGTGGGGTAGAGGGGACCTTTGGTTTTATTGGGGGCCCTTGCCGAGAAGGGTGAAGAAAGTGGAGAGAGTAACCAGGCAGAGAAACACATCGGGCAGCAGGGGAAAATTTAAATGCAATTCAGGCTGATATGCTATTAAAGCACAAGTATACCGATTGACGGCGTGCCCTCAGACCCCGGTCAAAGGGGCAGATCCAACCGGGGTCAGAGAGTGTCAAGCCTGAATCACACATTGCATTCAATCTCAAATCTCCAAGTCTGATGTACAGCTGTGACGAGCTGCGAGGGGGGGGGAGTGCTTGAACATACTGTTTCCACCAAAACCACTCTCCGTTGGGGTCAAACAAACGCACTCTCAACCACGACCGGGCTAATGGCTCCTGGGGAATCCCTCAAGTTGGGGTGCGCCAGCAGGTCGGGAAATCTGGCGAACTGCCATGCCTTCCAGAATATTGTTTAGCAGTGAACAGCTCAAGCCCAAAACAGAGGATGCCCACCACCAAAATGCCCAAAGAGATAGTAGGCGGGCCGAATCTTCTATATAGACAGGGGCGATAACAAGGGGCTAAACGTTGTGCCTGCTCATGAGTATAACCCGCGTTGGGAGGTTGCCGGTCCGGACGGAACTCGGCTCATCGCCAGACCCCGAGCTACCGGGGTTGAAAAAGATAGAAATCAAGTTGCGGGAGGGACCAGTTGAATCATTTCCATTCTTACAGTGGGCGGGGGGGCAATTACTCCATTAATAGACAATAACGAGGGAGAGCCAAGCAGGCAAAGGCAGGAGCGGCGTGAGTACACTCTGTGCTACCGACGGAGGAGAAGTGACCGCTACTGCTTCAACTGCCGTCTAACTTACCTGCTTCTTCTGCCACTAACTGCTTTCTACGGCCAATCTCTGCGTTCTACGGGCCTCTTTCTGCTGCGTAACGGCTTCTAACAGCTTCTACGGCCGTCGACTGAATCGACTTGGGCCTCTAAGGCCTCTACGGCTTCTACTGCATCTACTGCCTCTTCTGGGCTCTTCTGCTCGACTGGCTTCTACTGATCGCTACTGGCCTCTACTGCACTCTACTGCTTCTACTGGTGCCCTCTATACCTGCCTCTACTGCTTCTACGGGGCCTCTACTGCCTCTACTGCATCTACTGCCGTTGCTATCTGGCGTCTACTGGGCTTGACTTCTGCCTCAACTTGCTTCGAACTGCCGCACTGCTTCTTCTGACACGTCGCGACTCACTGACTCTACTGACTCAGCTGCTTCTACTGACTATACTGCTTCTACTTGAATCTAACGGGACTCAGTACGGACGCTACTTTTGCGCTACTGCCTCTACTGCCGTCTACATGCTTCTACTGACTCTACTTTACTACAGCCCCGCTTAAAATAGGGCCATGCGGGTCCCATAACCGCCTGTGAGGATTCTTTCCCCTTTATTATGCTATATTCCGACATTTAATGCACACTGGAAGCCTGAGACCCCTGGGGGGGTCCCTCGAGTTGTATCCCCGAATATATGGCCGAAGTTGGCTTGTAAGTGAGCCTGCTCAGGCCTGGTGCTCCAATGCAAATGTGTAAATAATTCAAGTGCTGTGGCAGGAGCGAACCGGCGTGGGAGACCTCAATGTCGTCCCAATTCCATCGCCGTGTGCCAAGCGGCCTCTGCGAGCCCAGTTACTTACACATATCTCTTAGTGGGTTTGGGCTCAACTCTCTTGGCTGATTTGTATGCTGAGGGGGGGATAGGCCTGGTTCTCCAGGGGGGCTTATGTTCATGTGTGGGGGGCTACAGACCTCCAAGACCGTTGGTTAGGGCCTGGGTGGGCCTGGGCTCCATGGGGGTTTAGGTTAGTGGGGGAAGGCCTGACCGCCTGGGGGCTTTGTGGCTGGCGGGGGGCGGCCTGTTCGCCTTGGGGGATGGTTAGGGGTGTGGGGGAAGGGCCGGGTTCGCTAGGGGGGTAAGGGTAGTGTGGGGTAAGGCAGGGTCCGCCATGGGGTTGGGGGTGGGGGGGGTAGCCTGACCTCCAGGGGGGCTTAGTCATGCGGGGGGCGGGCCGGAGCGCCATGGGGGTAAGGGTGGTGGGGGAAGCCCTGGTATCCGCCAGGGGGGCGTAGGGCTCGGGGGGCGCCGAGCTCCATGGGGTGATGTTTAGGTGGGGTGGCCTGGTTCTCATGGGGTTAAGGTTAGGTGTGAACCGCCGGATCTGTCCTGGGGTTTGGGTAGGTGTGGGGAAGGCTGGATCTCCATGGGGTTAAGGTGAGGGGTGGAGGGCGGTAGCGCCGGAGGGGTTTGGGTGGGGGGGAGGGCCTGGATTCTCCCGGGGGTAAGGTTAGGGGGGGGGTGGGCCGGGGCGCCTTGGGGGGTTGGGGTGGGGGGTTGGCCTGACCTCCAGGGGGCATGGGCAGGCGTGGGGGCGGCCGGTAGCGCCAGGGGTGGGTTTGTTGGTGGGGGAATGCCCTGGACTCCCTGGGCTTATGTGCAGCGGGGGGGCGCCTGTTCTCTATGGGTTTTGGTTTGGGGGGGAAGGCCTGATCCCATGGGTTTTTGGTTAGGTGTGGGGGGGTAGCCGGTTCTCCTGGGGTGTAGGTTATGGGTGGTAGGGCCTGATCTCCGTGGGTTATGGGAGGTTGGTAACGCCGGATCCGCCATGGGTGTAGGAGGGGGGTAGGCCTGGAGCGACCTTGGGGGGTGTATGGGTGGGGGGTGGCTGTATCCCGGGGGTGATGGTGATGGGGGGGGAGCCTGGTGCGCCAGGGGGGGTTGGTGGGGGAGGGGCCGGGGGCTCCCAGGGGGTTTGGATGGGCGGTGGGGATAGGCCGGGTCCCCTGGGGGGATGGTTTGGGGGATTGCCCTGTTCTCCTGGGGCTTGTGCAGCGTGGGCGGCCTGGTTCTCCAGGGGGGTGTTGTGTACGCACTGGATCCCCAGGGGGGGATGTTTGGGTGGGGTAGCCTGATCTCCAGGGGTTGGTTGGTGGGGGTGGGCCGATCTCCGAGGGGTATGGTTAGGTGTGGGGAGGGCCGGGAGCTCCTGGGGTTATGGTTGGTGTGAGGGCCGGATCGCCGGTATGGGGTTATGGTTGGTGGGGGATCCGCCTGGATCCCCTTGGGTGTTATGGTTTGGTGGGGGGAAGCCTTTTCTCATGGGGGTTTGTTGTTGGAGGGCCGGGATCTCCGTAGGTTAATTTGTTGGGGAGGGCCGATCTCCTGGGGGTGTTGTTATGGGGTGGGGGGGGCCTGGGGTCTCCATGGGGGGTGATGGGGTGTGTGGATGCCTGGACCTCCTTGGGGTTAAGGGTTAGGGGTGGTAGCCGGGACCTCCATGGGGGGATTTGTGGCTCGGCGTGGGGCGCCGGACGGCGGGCAATCAGCCATTGGGTGATGGTTGGTTTGTGGTATGGCCCTGATCCCCATGGGGTTAAGTTTGGTGTGGGAGGGCCTGATCCCCTTGGGGGTTTGGTTTGGTGTGGGTAGGCCTGACCTCCAGGGGAGCCGAGGTGCTGCTGGGCCGGCCTGGTGCGCCATGGGGTTATGGGATGGGGTGGGAGCCCTGACCTCAAGGGGGGCGATGGGCAGCGTGGGCGCCCTGATCGCCTGGGGTTTAGGTAGGGTGGGGATCGCCTGGAGCCCCATGGGGGTGTTGGGTTGGGTGGGATGCCTGTTCTCCATGGGTTAAGTTTTGGGGGGGGTGGCCTGGTAGCTCCGTGGGGGTTATGGTTGGGGTGGGGAGGGCCTGGATCGCCTGGGGGGTAAGGCTAGGTGGGGGGAGGGCCGGGTGCACCCATGGGTTATGGTGATGGGGTGGGTAGATCGCGGGACCCCAGGTCTTGTCAGCGTGGGCGCTTTCTCCATGGGGGATGGTATGTGTGGGATGCCTGGACCTCCTGGGGCTTTGTGCTGCGTGGGGCGGCCTGGGTTCTCCATGGGGGAAGTTTGGTGTGTGGCCGGGAGCCGCCGGGTGGTGGGGGGTTGGGGGGGGCCCCACACACGGGATATTGGGGGGAAACCTTGGGTTGGGGTGTGGTGGTTCGGGAGCATCCTGGGGTTAAGGTGAGGTGGTGGACATCCTGGTTCGCCGAGGGTTTGTGTTGTGTGGTATGGCTGTTCACCATGGGGTTATAGTGTTTGGTAGCCTGTCCTCCAGGGGGCTTTGATGCAGGCGTGGGGGGCGGCCTGGTTCTCCTTGGGGTTTTGGTTAGTGTGGGTATGCCCGGAACCCCTGGGGCGATGGGCAGCGTGGGGGGCCCTGGAGCTCCATGGGGTAAGGTATGGTGTGGGGATGCTGGAGCTCCCATGGGGTGTAGTGAGGTGATCCCGGGTTCCCCAGGGGGATGGAGGGGGGGGTAGGCCGGTGCGCCAGGGGGGGTTATAGTTATGTGGGGAGGGCCGGGATCTCCGGAGGGTTTTAGTTTGGTGTGAGGGCCTGGATCTCCTGGGGGTTTAGTTTATGTGGAGGCCTGGGTCTCCAGGGGTGAAGTTTGGTGTGGGAAGCTTGGACCTCCCAAGGGGGCTTGTGCATGCGTGGGCGCCTGGTTCTCCATGTTAAGTTAGGGTGGAACCCGGGTCCTCCAGGGGGGCTGTGTGCAGGCGTGCCGGCCTGTTCTCCATGGGGTTAAGTAGGTGTGGGTAACGCCGGATCCCCTTGGGGGTATGGTGAGGTGTGGGAAGGCCTGGACGCCTGGGGGGTGTGTGTGTGGGGGGAGGCCTGAGCGCCGGAGGTTAAAGGTTAGGGTGGGGGAGGGCCTGGAGCTCCATGGGGGTGTATGGCGTGGGGGGATAGGCCTTGGCCCTGGGGGGTGGATGTTGTGGGGGATAGCCTGGCCGCAGGGCGATGTGCAGCGTGGGGGGCGGCCTGGATCGCCAGGGGGTGAAGTAGGGGTGGGATGCCCTGGACCTCCAGGGGGCTTTGCAGGCGGGGGCGGCTGGTTCGCCTTGGGGGGTATGGGTTAGGTGTGGGGAGGGCCTGGAGGCCCCGGGGGGGTTTAGGTTAGGGTGGGTTATGGCCCGGGTTCTTCCGGGTGTAGGTGATGTGTGGGAGGCCTGGATCTCCGTAGGGGTAAGGGGGTGTGCGTGGGCCTATCCCCATGGGGGGTTTGGTTAGTGTGGGGAAGGGCCTGGAACTCCAGGGGGGCGTGGCTGGCGGGGGGGGGCCTGTTCGCCTATGGGGTTAAGTTAGGTGTGGATACCCGGGAACCGCCTGGGGGGCGTTGTGCAGGCGAGGAGATCCAGGCCGCCCCCCACGCCTGCACATAGCCCCCCTGGAGGTCCAGGCCTTCCCCACACCTAACCTTAACCCCCCATGGGGATCCAGGCCCTCCCCACACCTAACCTTAACCCCCATGGAGATCCAGGCCGCCCCCACACCTGCACATAGCCCCCCTGGAGGTCCAGGCCTTCCCCACACCTAACCTTAACCCCCATGGAGATCCAGGCCGCCCCCCACGCCCTAACATAACCCCCCTGGAGATCCAGGCCTTCCCCACACCTAACCTTAACCCCCATGGGGATCCAGGCCCTCCCCACACCTAACCTTAACCCCCATGGAGATCCAGGCCGCCCCCCACACCTGCACATAGCCCCCCTGGAGGTCCAGGCCTTCCCCACCACCTTAACCCCATGGGCCCAGCCTAACCCCCCCCTGGAGGATCCAGGCCCTCCCCACACCTAACCTTAACCCCTACGGAGATCCAGGCCCTCCCCACACCTAACCTTAACCCCCATGGGGATCCAGGCCTTCCCCACACCTAACCTTAACCCCATGGAGATCCAGGCCTTCCCCACACCTAACCTTAACCCCCATGGAGATCCAGGCCGCCCCCACGCCTGCACATAGCCCCCCTGGAGGTCCAGGGCTTCCCCACACCTAACCTTAACCCCCATGGAGATCCAGGCCGCCCCCACGCCTGCACATAGCCCCCCTGGAGGTCCAGGCCTTCCCCACACCTAACCTTAACCCCCATGGGGATCCAGGCCCTCCCCACACCTAACCTTAACCCCCATGGATATCCAGGCCGCCCCCCACGCCTGCACATAGCCCCCATGGAGATCCAGGCCTTCCCCACACCTAACCTTAACCCCCATGGGGATCCAGGCCCTCCCCACACCTAACCTTAACCCCCATGGAGATCCAGGCCGTCCCCACACCTAACCTTAACCCCCATGGAGATCCAGGCCTTCCCCACACCTAACCTTAACCCCCATGGGGATCCAGGCGTTCCCCACACCTAACCTTAACCCCCATGGAGATCCAGGCCGCCCCCACGCCTGCACATAGCCCCCCTGGAGGTCCAGGGCTTCCCCACACCTAACCTTAACCCCCATGGAGATCCAGGCCGCCCCCCACGCCTGCACATAGCCCCCCTGGAGGTCCAGGCCTTCCCCACACCTAACCTTAACCCCCATGGGGATCCAGGCCCTCCCCACACCTAACCTTAACCCCCATGGAGATCCAGGCCCTCCCCACACCTAACCTTAACCCCTACGGAGATCCAGGCCCTCCCCACACCTAACCTTAACCCCCATGGAGATCCAGGCCTTCCCCACACCTAACCTTAACCCCCATGGGGATCCAGGCCTTCCCCACACCTAACCTTAACCCCCATGGAGATCCAGGCCGCCCCCACGCCTGCACATAGCCCCCCTGGAGGTCCAGGGCTTCCCCACACCTAACCTTAACCCCCATGGAGATCCAGGCCGCCCCCCACGCCTGCACATAGCCCCCCTGGAGGTCCAGGCCTTCCCCACACCTAACCTTAACCCCCATGGGGATCCAGGCCCTCCCCACACCTAACCTTAACCCCCATGGAGATCCAGGCCCTCCCCACACCTAACCTTAACCCCTACGGAGATCCAGGCCCTCCCCACACCTAACCTTAACCCCCATGGAGATCCAGGCCTTCCCCACACCTAACCTTAACCCCCATGGGGATCCAGGCCCTCCCCACACCTAACCTTAACCCCCATGGAGATCCAGGCCGCCCCCACGCCTGCACATAGCCCCCTGGAGGTCCAGGCCCCCCACACCTAACCTTAACCCCCATGGAGATCCAGGCCGCCCCCCACGCCTGCACATAGCCCCCCTGGAGGTCCAGGCCTTCCCCACACCTAACCTTAACCCCCATGGAGATCCAGGCCCTCCCCACACCTAACCTTAACCCCCATGGAGATCCAGGCCCTCCCCACACCTAACCTTAACCCCCATACGGAGATCCAGGCCCTCCCCACACCTAACCTTAACCCCCATGGAGATCCAGGCCTTCCCCACACCTAACCTTAACCCCCATGGGGATCCAGGCCTTCCCCACCCTAACCTTAACCCCCATGGAGATCCAGGCCGCCCCCACGCCTGCACATAGCCCCCCTGGAGGTCCAGGCCTTCCCCACACCTAACCTTAACCCCCATGGAGATCCAGGCCGCCCCCCACCCTGCACTAGCCCCCCTGGAGGTCCAGGCCTTCCCCACACCTAACCTTAACCCCCATGGAGATCCAGGCCCCCCCCACACCTACACCTAACCTTAACCCCCATGGAGATCCAGGCCCTCCCCACACCTAACCTTAACCCCCATGGAGATCCAGGCCCTCCCCACACCTAACCTTAACCCCCATGGAGATCCAGGCCCTCCCCACACCTAACCTTAACCCCCATGGGATCCAGGCCTTCCCCACACCTAACCTTAACCCCCATGGAGATCCAGGCCGCCCCCACGCCTGCACCTAGCCCCCCTGGAGGTCCAGGCCTTCCCCACACCTAACCTTAACCCCCATGGAGATCCAGGCCGCCCCCCACGCCTGCACATACCCCCTGGAGTCCAGGCCTCCCCACACCTAACCTTAACCCCTGGAGATCCAGGCCCCCCCCACACCTACCTACCCCGGAGATCCAGGCCTTCCCCACACCTAACCTTAACCCCCATGGAGATCCAGGCCTTCCCCACACCTAACCTTAACCCCCATGGAGATCCAGGCCTCCCCACACCTAACCTTAACCCCCATGGAGATCCAGGCCCCCCCCACGCCGCACATACCCCCCATGGAGGTCCAGGCTTCCCCACACCTAACCTTAACCCCCATGGAGATCCAGGCCGCCCCCCCGCCTGCACATAGCCCCCCTGGAGGTCCAGGCCTTCCCCACACCTAACCTTAACCCCCATGGGGATCCAGGCCCTCCCCACACCTAACCTTAACCCCCATGGAGATCCAGGCCGCCCCCCACGCCTGCACATAGCCCCCCTGGAGGTCCAGGCCTTCCCCACACCTAACCTTAACCCCCATGGAGACCCAGGCCCTCCCCACACCTAACCTTAACCCCCATGGAGATCCAGGCCCTCCCCACACAACCTTAACCTAACCCCTACGGAGATCCAGGCCCTCCCCACACCTAACCTTAACCCCCATGGAGATCCAGGCCTTCCCCACACCTAACCTTAACCCCCATGGGGATCCAGGCGTTCCCCACACCTAACCTTAACCCCCATGGAGATCCAGGCCGCCCCCACGCCTGCACATAGCCCCCCTGGAGGTCCAGGGCTTCCCCACACCTAACCTTAACCCCCATGGAGATCCAGGCCGCCCCCCACGCCTGCACATAGCCCCCCTGGAGGTCCAGGCCTTCCCCACACCTAACCTTAACCCCCATGGAGACCCAGGCCCTCCCCACACCTAACCTTAACCCCCATGGAGATCCAGGCCCTCCCCACACCTAACCTTAACCCCTACGGAGATCCAGGCCCTCCCCACACCTAACCTTAACCCCCATGGAGATCCAGGCCTTCCCCACACCTAACCTTAACCCCCATGGAGATCCAGGCCCTCCCCACACCTAACCTTAACCCCCATGGAGACCAGGCCGCCCCCCACGCCTGCACATAGCCCCCCTGGAGGTCCAGGGCTTCCCCACACCTAACCTTAACCCCCATGGAGACCAGCCGCCCCCCCACGCCTGCACATAGCCCCCCTGGAGGTCCAGGCCTTCCCCCACCTAACCTTAACCCCCATGGGGATCCAGGCCCTCCCCACACCTAACCTTAACCCCCATGGAGATCCAGGCCC